TCTCAAAATGAAGTAAAATCTTCTAAGAAACAGGAAAATACAAAGTAAACAAAATGTTACGGTTAGCCTCTGTTTTCGACTTCACCCGTTTTGTTATGCCATCCGGTTTGAGAGTGACAAGTTTTTCATACATCGGCATTGGGTCGGTCGCCTTTGTAACATATTTATATCTATAAACATGTATATATATGCATGTATTTGCACGATATTGTGTTTACTGTTACACTGTTATTACATATTTTTTTATTTCCTTATTTGTTTCTGTTATTTTATTCTTCTATTCCTGTGCTTTGTATTTCCTAGACTTTCATCTCTCTTTCCTTCCCATTAGAGCATCACATAATACTATTGCGGCCCACTCACTGGGTCGTTTGTTCAAGCGCTCTCGCGCTTACCAAGGCGTCCATTCCTCTGGGGTCGGTAACTTTGCACTAGTGCCTTTACGGAAGGATAGAACGCTGGTCCTATTTATCATAAGCTTCCTGAAATTATTTTATGCATTCATTTACTTCTATAATGCCTTGAATTGAGTTGAATGCATGGAGCATTGGTCATGCTAAGGAAATGGTCGAGGTCGAGCACTTTCACTCCTTGGTTGTATTACCTAGGATTTTGAATATGTTATCATATGTAACCATAGCGATGTCGAGACATTTTCAAAACATTGACTTCGAGCCCAATTTGAACCTGAGGGGCTCACATGTTACCCATTGCTCCACTGAGGCCCTAGCTTTGCCTTTCTCTCAGCCAGTTTTTTGCTCTAGCTCTGTCGTCAGCAATCAACAGGAATAATCTGAGGAACACAAAACGTTATCGAACCCAGCTAAGCCGAGGCTGCTGTCGAATTTTTTATGTACTGCCTCTTATTGTTTTCTCATGGTCACATATTCTCCTTATTCTTCTGTCATTTAATATCTGTCATTTATTTTTGTTCCATACATAGTCTAGTTAGTAATCGACTAGCTCGGCGGTTACCAAGATCATCATTTCTCCCCATTGCATGCCAGAGTTCTAGAAGGGATAAAAGAACGATCATATTTTCGATGGATTTCTCTTTTTTTATCATCTTTGGCAAGAGATAACCACGAATAGTTCAAAGAACTCTGCCGTGGCACAAGGTTACTCTTAGCCAACCTTCCGGATCGAAACGTTGAGCTTCTAGGGTCACGAACCTTTGCTACTTCGTGAAACCATGCTGCACGTTTCATTTTGATAGTCAAAAATTTCCTTCAGCTAGGTTTTTTTGCCAAAGTACAGTTGATAAAACCGAATCGGCAATAAACCTATATCCCACCTTACATTTAGCCAGTGACGTATACTGCTTGCGAAAGATCTGACAGGAAATTACAAACAATTTAATCAAATAATTTCAACTTTATCTCCAAAAACTGAAATGAAACGCATTTCTCTCCCTAAATGGGAGGCTATATAATCCCCTGTCTCAAGCCGTTTCCAGTATGAAATACTGTTCACAAAAGACAATAAACTAGTTAATTACTTCGGTACTTGTAGAGTCTTCATGAGTTGCACGGAACCCAGTAGATTTTCCATCCGTTTCTTTGGCTTGCAATTGTCGTTCCTTTGGTGGTTTGACTGAAGCACGATGGGAGAAGCGAGCCTCATGCCATGCTCTGTGAAACAACTGCAGTCGCGACTACAGCTGATTGATTTTAGTTACGAGCACGTCCATCCAACGTATAAGTGGTCATCTTATGGGGACCCTGAATCATTGTAGTCCACACTACAGTTCTTTTCTTCCATTTGCGGCCTGGTCTTCTTATTATGTGATGGGCCCATCTGTGTCTCGCTATCGATGTGTTCCTCAAGGGTCTCGAAGATGAGATTTCGAAAATCAGAGCTTCGCATTCCTGCTACATATTATGCATGCTGGTTATATTTCAGAGGACGTCGTTCAAGCACTTCGTGGTTGGTGCGCAGAGTTCTTGACGTGACGATAAAATGTCAGCACATGTCTCTGTTGCGTAAGAGAGTGTTGAGAGGAGTGTTCAATTGAAAGGTGAGCGCAGGTCTCCGGGTCCTTTGGTTGGTTGGTAGCTTCTTTGAAAAGCCAAAATGCGGCACATTCTATTCTCCTTCTTCTGTCTAATTCCTCCTTCGATAAATAGAGTGGTCGTATAACTGCCAAAGTGGAGCAGAGCGATTGTTGCACGATAAGTTGTACTACGCGAGAACGTGTCGTATAACGATCGGGCTACTCCACTTTATGATGCATCGGCCGAGAAGCGTGACCGGATGTTGGCATGGATCTACGAATAAATGACAGACTTTACACACGGTTTACGAAAAGGTGCAGTATAGGGAATTTTCGGAACTACGCTTCGCAGGAGATTATAAAATGAAAAAATGCATTGATTAGAAAGAAAACGCTGAAGGGATACCATGCAAATGAGTGGAGCATTCGTGTGCTAGCATGAGGTGGCGAAGGATATCACGAAATCGAGATGAGGGCGATCGAGAAGAGCCGGAGGATAATTCCGTATTAGATTGCAATAATAAGAGTAGAGAGAGGAGGAGAAGAGTAGCGCAATGGTTGGCGGTTTCGTCGACCAGGAAGCGGAAGCGCTAGCTCGATCTCCAACGCTTTCCTTCAGTCCACGTGGGAACGTCTTAGCCTGGCTATCCCCGAAATTGCTAGGAGATTCGGCTCGACCAGCATCAATCAACAGCCTAAACAACACGCGAAATATCCCAAAACCACTGTGGACCATGATAGTAGGAAAACGAATTGATTGGAAGAAGTTCTGGGATCCGCACAGTGGATGCGATAATGGGGCATGTAAAATGTGAAAAAAATAATCCCAGAACGTTATACAAGTACAAGAATGCTAAAGATAGCGCTTCGAACCCATGATAACCCTTTCGGAGGTCTCACGTGTTATCCATTGAACCAACCAAAGGCCTTTTCTTTTACTCTTCCTCATCCAGTTTTTTTTTTACTCTAAGGGTGCTATTACCAACCACTAATCAACGAGAATGATATACAGAGCGCAGTTCAGCAGTGAACCAAGTTAAGATGAAGCTGAAGTGAAAATCACAGTGTTTTAAACTTATTTACCGCCTGTTATTTTCCATGGCAGTAATGAGATATACAAGCGATTGATCGACTTTTTTTATAGCGTTGATCAGTCTCTTAGGAATACATCATCTACTGGACTCCATTACGTAAACGTGAGTGAATGCATATCTGGCTAAAACAATGGCTTTGAGAGCTTACTAATGCATGCAGTTAGTGTTTTCGTCCTTCTAAATAAGTTAACCATCAATTTGCCAATTCTGAAGAAACCGAGTGGATAGTTCAGAGCGCGGGATTGAACCAGTCTGCATGAGCATTGCCGGTGGACGCTTTCAGCCTCTACGCTACACCTGCCTAACTTTTACACATATGTAGTTATAGTTACGCATGCGTTGTTGACCAAGTAAGCTTGCGTTTGTGCTCAGTCGGAGTGCTGTGACGGCCTTTGGGACTGGTTCACTGTCCACTCCACGAAGAAAAACAGCTTCCATGACGAAAGAGGTGAACAAGCCATCAGTTGTATGCTCATTGTAGTTAGTATGCTGAACGACAGAGTCTAAGCCCCATATATCTACAATGCGAACTGGAATGAGATAGAACATAGCATGAGTACGAAAAGCCTTTTAGGATCTCAATAGTTTTTTGCTCTTTTTTGCTCTTTCTTTTCGTTGGAAAAAAAACGTACCTCAAAATTTGGGCAAAATCGTCTCATGAAGTGAAGTTTTCCCGTTAAACCGACTCCTAGTAAAATGCCATTGTTAGCACCTTCTTAGATTTTTAAGCCAGCACGAATTTCTTGAAAAGCTTTTATTCGGCTAACGTTCCAGCGCTTTCACCTCCTTAAGTGTCGGGATGACCTCAGTCGATTGTCAAAATCCGTTGGTCTTTGTAATGTGGGTCTTCGCAGTCGCAACGGGTCTTTTGGAGTGGGCACAACTCGAATGAAATATCTGCACTTGCCGGCTCATTTTATACCTTTTTTTCGGCGGAAACCCATCTTAAAGCAGTCAGTATTATACTATCTTGCACATAGTGCCTTTTTTAACACAACCAGTTAAGAGTGTGTCCTGCTCTTCCGCCAACTTTAAAGCTGTAAAAAATAGTTTTTTAGTAAACCGGAAAGGTGTTAGGTGTTCTTAGGTGTTGTTTTACTAGCCATAGACAGCTATCAACTTAGGCCTAGGCATGCAGAAATCCGTAGAGAGAAACAGCAGAATATAAGGGGACGCGGAACATTAATACTAGTTAAAGCTAAAAGTTAGGAGAAGCATTCACAAAACCTACTGGAACATCGCCAACTAAACGGTAAAGGTGACCTTTTTCCGAAATTCAAAAGGAATAGCAGATCTGAAAAGTCACCTGAGGTTGTCACATCCCGTACTCCTAGCTCTTCAAGAGTCTCATCTACCTTTTTCCACTTTATTCTATGAATATTCGCTAATGAAGGACGTGGTCGAAATCGACAGCTGTCATACAATTTGTTGCTTAAAAGCTTTTAGCAATCCATTATCAATAGAACTCACATAGTGATGAGCGACTAACAGTTATAGAAGCACTGTTTTCAAAACTAAAAAGTATTATTGTAATATTCCCACGATTAGTAAGCCTATTAATGTGTTAGGGAATTGAAGACGGATCGTTGTCTGACTTTAGCATTATCCCCTTCATAAACACATTCGATTCAACTGCGAAGGAAACCATAATGAAAACTTTGCGTCACTAAGACGTCTCTAGCTACTAATTTCAAAAGATCGTGCATAACAACTTGATTGGCCTGCAAATGGTATCGAACCACAGACCGTTTCACATTAACGATGCTTATCCTCATAACCCTATCCGGTCACGTTTTTTGATTTAGACTTCCCTTCTTTCTCACATTTCACAGTTACTTGTGTACTTAATCATCAATGATACCGTTAACCTTCGTCAGTTTTTATTGCGAAAAAAAGATGGTTTTCTCCTTCAGATGGTAAACTGGACTGAACTACCAAGCGAGATTATCAGTGCCGTATGTGACTACCTAAGTTATTCCGAACGTCGAACGTTGGCGATGGTAAATCAACGTTGCGAACAGATCGTCAACGCGCGACGTGAGAAATTCGCCGGCATCATCGTACGCGGAATGCCGTCCATTAATGTGAGCAATGAGTTCTTTTCCTCAAATAGAACTTTTCTTCACAAGTCATTAATATCTTTTCGCTGTCATCAAGGTCGTCAACTGTAACAGCTTTATTCGTTGAGTAATTCACCATGTAACTCGAAGCGACAGCGGTGAAATTCCTCTTCATCCCGAGCCGAAGCGGCTAAGTGGACATCGTGGGGCACAAATGGCTTCGTACCTTTTAGGCTATTCATTTTTACAGCACTTTGCCAGAATATGGACATAGGTAACTCGCCACGCCTTATCACGAGGTAGATCTATTCTTAGCTGGGCTTACTTGTGGAAACCTCTACATTGCCCCCCGACGTTCAGCCTAGAAAATCACCTCAGAAACTGAGTGGCAGTATATATATCGTTGAGCAATTTTTTTTATTCCTCTATTTTATTTTTTGCTTACATGACCCGTCGTCGCATCTAGAGCGCGGAAAGCAGAATTTCCTGCATTCGATTCGCTTTCCTCCACACGTTATCGACGCCGGTCTTCAAACATTTTGCCTGTTGTTTCGGCTGCTGCTTGAGGATGTCGTCTTCCTTACGAATGTTGTAGACTCCTGGTGGAGGCTGCTTTTCTTGCGACCTTGGACTTAGCCGACCTGACGAGTTCTCATATGGATTGGAGGAGAGCGTTGGTGACGAGGTCGAACGAGCACCTTGTTCTCTGATGGAGTGCACCGCTACCCATTTTACCATCCCCATTATATTCACCTAATTCCATGAATATCCGAATATCTCCATGGTAACAAAGAATTTTGTCTGCTTGCAAAACTCCGGATCGCAGGTGAATGCGGTGAGGAACGAACGCGTTATTACCCTTTCCGGGGGCTAACGCATTCACCACCACACCAAGGGGGTGCTTCGTTTCGCCTGTCTCTCAGCTAGTTCTATCGATCAGTGCCATCAGCAATCACCCGTCAACGGGTTTGATATGGAGAGCCTTAATCGGCAGTGAACCTATTTAAGTTGAGGCTGTAGTCAAAACCACAATGTTAACTTTTTATTTACCGCCTATTACAATTTTCCACGGCAAGGTATTATGTGTGGCACAGAAAGGCGCGCGTGGCACAGTGATCGGAGGCGCCCTGCAACACACACGTAGAATCGGTCACCACGCCCATGGCTCACCAAGCCTTTAATCCCTCCGGGGTCGGCAAATTGGCACCAGACTTGTCTGGGAGGATAGCAGCAATAGCTCATACATCGATAAGCCACCGCGAATCATTGTAAAGGCCAGATATGCAGAAATTCAATTACCTCCAAACGATGTTTAATGAAGAAGAATACATGGCATATCCCTCAGGGATTGGTCAACGCCGAGAGCTTTAACCTTTTTTTACAACCACAATGATGCTGGACCCGTATGGTGTGATGGTGAACGCATTAGCTCCTGGTAATGGTACTAGCGCGTTCGTTCATTACCGCATACACCTGCGGTCCGGAGTTTTGCAAGTATCTCAGCATGATTGTTTTAGCAGTTGCTAGTGGAAATTAGGTCTTCGAGTCAGTTCTCGGCACCTTATGATCACTAGCTTTGAGTAGGATACTCGTCTTCGTAGAAGTTGCCACGCCGGACTTTTTCGTGATTGTCGCAGCGCAATATCTCAAACTTGGGTATTTAAACCGTTTATAACAATAATAATTCAAGAATAACGAAATACAAACATTGGTAAAATACAGACTGCAATATTGTATCATGATCAATAAGTAAGGGTACGACGGGTTAGTATCATTACTATAGGCCAGTAAAACAGTGCCATGTGCATTTAGAATACCTCACGAGTTTCAGAAGATCCAGGAGAATTAAGGGATTTATATAAGGCCGTAATACCTGACTCACAAACAACAATACTAATGGGTTATACACTATATGTAGGCTTGTGATGTCATTCTGATGAGGTTAACACGTTAACGGCGACTTGCAAACTCGTTATACCATTTTGATGAGGCTATGTGCTAACTGGTAAGTACACTGCGGGTATGTTAACGTACTAGAGAATACATGTGAGCGCATGAGTATACTGCGATGAGGTTAACGTGAAAACACAATAGAGTTAGCGTTTTTAGAGGTACATGACAGCAAAGTTAATATACAACAGTGGTCACGTACTACAAGAGTTAACACCTCTGTTTAACTCCATCGTGCCTCACACATGATGAACAGGGGGCGAATACGATATTGACTCATGGGCTATTTAAATGTCTTCATGACTCATGGCTATGGAGGAGGCGGCGCTTTGGCACAGGTCCAAAACTTTTACCGAAAACATTCGTCGACTTTCACATACAGCTCCCTCATGATCAGATGACTGAGGACGATTTGCCAGACAACTTCATGCTCGTTGTGTTACCGTACTCGTGATGGTTTGGAACAGATTCAACACACAAAAAGTCCTGATTGCATAAAAGAGTGTGGATAACAAGAAATGTTTACGACAACCAAAGTTTCTCTCAATGAAGTGAAAACGTTTACATGCTGCAAGATCGCAAGGCTATGTGAGGGACCACGAATGTGGTTGCCATAGACCAACGTTATGATGAAAGAATAGTAATTAATCTGGCAATAGTTACTATAATTGTGGTCGTATCACACATAATACCCTGCCATGAAAAATTGTAATAGGCAGTCAATGGAAAGTTAACATTGTGATTTGTCAGTTGTCTTAGGATTGTCGTGCTGCATATTCCACCGAGGACTTTCACCGGACTTTATGGATCAGAAGCAAATTTTCCATTTTGTGATTAGGTCTCTACTAAGTGTTGGTTAATCTCGACAAAGGATCGGTCTTAGTTGTGCTAGTCGAAATATTGAACTGCTAGTCAGCTTAGGAGGCTCGGCTATGGGATAAACATTCTTCTGTTTGTCACAATACGACACGAAGAACTATCACGAAGCCACGACGGTGATGTAAATAATTAAGGGTGAAATTCTCATGGTTATTATTACACTAGAGATACCATCACAATCATTTTTACAGTGTTAAATGTACACTTTATAGTATTATTTTATTGACGTGGCGTTTGATGACGGTTCACGCCTACGAAAGGAGTTTAGTACAACGTATTGTGGTACGACTGATGTGAAAACGGTGTTAACGAATCGGTAAGTGAAGACCGACCCAAGCAAAAAAGAGTTCCACTATATTCTGGTGATTGTTTTTCTTGCAGCTCAAATCCATTCGGTTGCTCAACTACTGGTCGAATGAGAAATGTGTCACCATTTCAGTTAATGAGTGCCTATTTTAAACTTATCCTTCGGCGGAGTATGGTAGATACGCTGTATATTGGGTTGGTGAGTGCTTCGTTTTGGTTTGATTAAATAAAGCTTCCGTTATTGGTCAATTCAATTTGATTAAAAGTTTTTTTCATAGTGTGTCCCAGTTTCCATTACCCTAAATTTACCTCTATTTTATGTTAACTGGTAAGCTTATTTTCATCGCTACCGCATTTTTTACTTTACACACAGGTTTCTTTATGAAAAGATAGAAATAAAATAAGTAAAGTGGAGGATAAAGCTTTCGTCAGTGGTCAATTCCTCAGGAAGTTCACGGCATCCAATTTCACCAAGCATCGCGTAGGTGACTGAACATATATCTGACCTGTACAATGAACTTATCGATGCATATTTCTCCTAAGCAAGTTTGCCAACAACTGACGAGCTCCGCAGGGATAAAACGCTTGATGAGCACTGGAACGAAGTAGACCAAACAGCCACCGATCCAGTGTTCACTACTGGATCCTCTAACCACTGGATAAGTTCCTTATAAGCACCAGTTTTGTTTGCTATTCACTGATAAACTATGAGAACTCGGTATGTTAATCGTCCCTATTTGATCCGCTAATGAAGAATCGCTACCATTTTGAAAAACCCTAGTCGCAAGCGAACAAACCGATTTCACCCATAGTGTCAGCTGACTGTTCACACTGCGTTCGTGAGGCGTACGGTCCCATAGCCCAATCAACGAAGAATCGTAGTTGCCTTTGTAGATGATGGTTGCAGGGCAACAAATCAGATGGAAGATGTACTAGATTTGCACAACGTTTAAGCATAGTTCTTCTAGAAAATCAAATAACATATTAAGTAATAATAATAGTAATAGCCCTCCCAACGGTTTACCGCCTCATTGTGGTCGAGAGGTGTTCCGTTCCTGGATGTCAGATTGCGATATACAGCAGACGATTCATTACCTGGCAGGGTCTCCCACGCTGAGAAGGAGTCTGCGTTTCCATCAGGAATCCTAGCTAAGAGTAAGGCAATGCCAGGATCCACCACCGTCCTGGTATCAAACTAATCACATGATGGCAAATCGCCCTCTGATCCACGAAGGCGGCGTCTACCTCTAGTGGTGACCACATGGGGCAGACTTTGGCCAGGCTGACCTCGGGACTCCAGGGAACCACAATGGGTTAATCAGCAAATCTCCGAAAAATGGAGATTATACTACGGTCCGGATAACCAGTGAGGGCGAGCCATTCAAATGTCAAGTAATAGTAATAATAATGTAATGCGGTAATGGATATGGAGAAAGTATATCTGCGTCCCGTATTGTAATACATGATAGAGAGTTCATTTTTCTGCAACGTCATTGCCTAGTATATGAAAATGTTCAACACCATCATACAGAAGCTTAACTTGTTATGAATCCATGCTAGTAATTTCTGCTGCCCTTCAAAAAAAACGAGGTCGTGGTAAGATGCAAACCTATAATAGTTCCCAAGATCGACTTTCTCTTAACCTCGGCATTGGAATATGAATGTGTCGTTTTCTTGTTCAGCAATCTCGAGGTTTTTAAACAGCATACATTTACTTCCATAAAAACACAATACAATACAACGCTAGCTGACGTTTCGGCAGTATCGCCTTCTTCAGAGCCGCTTTTTCGTGACTTCCAATGAGGAAGTTTAGAACAGCTGATTATAGTCGCATGTGGTTGACGACTGCACCATCCCACATCAAAAATCCACGAAAAAAAAAAGATTCCTATTTCCTAACCTATTTCCGAAATATTATGACGGGTCTACTAGAAGGAAGCACGCTAATACAATCGTGGTATTCTGGTGATTGAAAATTACCAAATTAGCAAATATCAGTTGGATAAAGATAGTACGGTGGTCCATGGCATTCGAGAAAACAGATCAATTTCAACTACTTAAGTAACAGCCGTTGAATACGATATCTTCCAGTCGCAAACGTTTGGTGAATATCTCAACTTTGGTAATGAGATTCAGGCTTCGAGCCTGCACACTTCAATATTTTCTTCGAGAATTGGAAAAAATCTGTCCAGGTTACAGTTACATGAAATATTCCTGGTAACTGAGTGCGAAGTTGTCAATAACTTGTTATCGTTACTGTCTAGAAAGTTAAGTAAAGAAAGCACGGTATCTGGAACAAATAGGAATCTTAATAGGGAAAAATTTGCTTAAATTTATTATTACCAATTGGTGTAAGCAAGGTGCGGGTAACATTTGCGTTGTTAGAGACGCCGAGTTTGTTTGAAAGCTGTAATCCCGTTAGTTGTGCAGTCTCTTAGCTGGGGAATCGCACGAATGTCTCTTTTTTCCTTGTGCTCTTCGTTTCCTGTCAGCTTGGGTAACCTTTCTGTCTGGAGAAGATGGTGAAGGTGTAATAATGCAGTGGACCATTCCTATGTACTATAACTACATACTTAAAAAGTGATTTTTCAAAATATTTTAGAGAAAAACGTCCGTGGAATTTAGGTCGGCGCGGTGCCATTGTTAAAAGTCGTTGATTGTCGAGCGTTGAATATTGTTCTACCAGAAGAATTGGTTGATAACGACGTTCGACTGAAATCTGCTCATCAAACGAAAATGACAAAAGTGCTTTGAACGAGAAGATAAACGATCTTTAGTTCTCAAAAAATAACCCATTCTCTTGAGTCCTTGGTTTTAGTGCATTATTAGAGTTCTACAGAATTATTAATATGGACTAGTTGTTCTATTTCCTCATAAGTATCGAGCACGTTTCCGCCATATTACAAGCATTGCTCTTTTTTTTCATTTTTCTCTTTTTCGTTCTGCAGAAGCGATAGCCTGTTCGGATATCGATCTTTCCTTTCCGTTCCTGCTGTGGAACAAACGTATGCGGGTATCTGATTTCAGAATCTCGGCAATCTGTTTTCTCAATTTCTTGCTTTTATTTACTACCTATTAATTTTTTACTACATGGTATAGTGTGAAATGCAACCACAATAATGTTGAGATATGAGCAAAACCGAAAAACCTAGGTGAGCTTCGAACGTACTATAACCTTTTCGGATGCCCATGCGTTATTCACTGCGTCAACGAGGTCTTTGTTTCGCCATTCTCGCAGTTGATTCCTGTTAACGGACGACTGCTGTTAGCACCGTTGAGGTAAGAAATTGGCAGAAAGAAAGACAAATCGAGCCCCCGGTGGCAAAGTGAATGAGCTCCCGAAAATATCGTGGGTTAGAAGCTAATCAAGGGTCCCAAACCTGCTTTGTTACGGACTTTTCCAATCTAGAATTTCTTTTCTAAAGCACGATATTATGGTTAGGAATTATCAAGGAATCGTCGAACAATCCTCTAGAAAATTTCATTCTAATGACGTAATGACTCTTATCCTTTAGAATAATCTCCATGGATTGAGATAAGTAGTATGTTGAACATAAGACTTTTTGTTCGAATTATGCTTAATAGTACCACAATAATGCTGAGATATAAGCAAAACTCGGAACCTCATGTCAGCTTCCAATCCGCGATTATCCTTCCTGGGAATCATATCTCAGCATCATTGTGACCGCATTTCACATAACACCCTTCCGAAAAAGTAACATCCAGCAAATGAAAGTTTATTATTGTCTCAGTTTTAAAAGTTATTTTTAAATGTAATAAAGATTTAATTGCGTTAAATCCAGAATCGTTCTGTTTACTCTTTCCATCCGCTGATCTTCTATTATAGATGGAAAATGTATGGTGCTCACGTCATTTGTCAAAGCTAATCGCTCTTCTGATACTTCGACGCTTTGTGCTAGCTGATAATACACCGACCTCTGCACGATGTGCGCAATGATGTATGTCCGGAAGAAATACAAGTTGTTACCACCGGACATTGTCATTATATATCCACCATCAGCATCGTGTATAAAAGGGCATCACTGAGTGAGGATGCCTCATTCGAGAAGATGGCTCACTGAAGAAGATCTGGCTCGACACGAAGGCGAAGACGCAACGTCGAGGCGAACAACAAGCAGGGACCATCGACTCGGATCACCGGCTCTGAGGAAGACGAAGACGTCGAAACGTTAGCCGAAAATAAATATATTTATCAACCTCGTGTAAGCTTATCAAGAAAGAATACATATTGCTCTTCTGATATTTTGCTAAAAGTGAAGACAGATGATCTTGAGAGGCTTATGTTCTTTTTTAACTACAAAACTTTTCGAATGTTCAGATGAATGGGTTCCATAAAGGATTTAACTTCTCATCGTTCGTGCGACGGCAGTCCTGAGATTTGAACTATGATATACTGCAGGAATTCATCTCACCGAAGAACCAACTAAAATAAGAAGCCATCCCTAATTTCCATTCGGAAGCCATATTTCGATTGAAAATTCCGAAAATGACTACCGCTTTGAAACAAAGTGCTTGCAAGGTTTAGGTCCCACACCTATCCACATTATACGCTACCCATGATGACAATCTGACAACGACATGGTACGGGCTTCTCAAAATTTTGAATGAAATTCTCCAGGGACCGTGACAAAGTGGAAGTTGACTGGGAACTCTGGCTTTGCCTCCATGATTCATCGTCTTCTTCTTCAAACAATTAAATATCCAAAGACAATATATAAAATTTATTTACTACCTATTGTTTTTGACGGCAGGGAACTGTGTGGAATATAACCACGATGGTGCTGAGTTATCAACAAAGCTCAGACCCTTGGACAGATTCAAATCCTCGAAAACCCTTTCTGTGGATATTTCTTACTTCACTGGAATTGTAGCCTTGATTTTCTCTCAGGCAACACAGACTCCAAGAAAGGATAATCGCAGGTTCGAATCTGGCCCGAGGCCTGAGCTTTGCCAATATCTCAGCATCGTTTTGGTAATATCCAAGTAAATTTTCGAAGAGAGCAATTTCCTACAATTAATAAATGTGTAGCGCTGAGGATACAGGTGCCGTGCAACACAAATAGTGGCTGGTTCAAGCTTGCGCGATTAACAGGCAATGTCCTTCATCCCTCTAGAGTCGGCAAATTGCCGCAAGACTTCTCTGAGAAGGTAAAAACAATGATTTGATACAGCGGTATTCCAGTGCAAGCGATTGCATAACAAGCACACAGACCCCTTCTAGGGTATCGCGAATGGAAATAAGTGCATGTCGCGCAGAATGGATTCGAGCGCTCTTGCTCGAATTCAAAAACGAAAATCAAGCTGCGGAAACGAACATTAATAGTGAAGCCTACAAGGAGAGTACGTCAATGAGAGTTAGGTGTAGCAGGGATAACAGAAGTTTCGTGAAGTCCTGAAGGTGAAGCTTAGAATTGGTGTTTAGGAAGGACCCACTGATAAAGAGTGTCTGAGGACGTTAAGTGAGGCCGCTTTGCACACAAGGAGATTTAAGATTCTTCGTCGGAATTAGACTTTAATAAAACAACAATTACACAAAACCTTGACTAAACTGAGAAACCAAAGAAAAGTCTTTCCGTATCTAATGTGTTCTACTTTTCTCCGAAAAACAAACCATTTCTTAAGCGCAAAAACGACTGAAAATGCATTCTACCCACCACAGCAGACAACGTACCTGATAAGGTTATCCACGATTGGCGAACTGAAACGCTCGAAAACCAGATTTAACCCAACAAAAAGTTACGCCTTTTTTCTGCCTGGTTGATTCGTTTGTCCACTGCAATGTTTCCAACCTCAGTGAAATAATCATAGAGGATAAACCGTTCCGCTTGAAAAATCCCTCATGAATATGCCCTGCATTCGACTTCGTTACAACGTCGTAAACGTGAATGTACATTTGACATTCACAGTGAATACGCGAACTCTTAAGCAGCAGTCGAGGCTACACGCGGAAAGCTCGATGCCCTTCATTGATAGAGGAATGTAAGGAGACGAATTGAATGCAGAAAGTGAAGTGCTGGGAACCCCACACCAGGTCCGAGGATCAGGTCGCGTAAAACAGAGAAATAAGTAATTGTTTTACAGAGGGTTGTCGATCAGATCAAAGGTTAGAGGTTAGACCAACAAATACTTTTTTAGACTGTTTAGCACTCCGAGGTTCTCATGAAATTTTATACCGGTGACGTCTCGGCTCCCTTGTCTTCTTCAAAATCGTAGTGATTCCGTTCAATTCTTCACAGTCATTAGCTTTTCAGATGTAGGTTTTCGTAATCGCATTGAGTCCAATCCAGTGGATAGCAGCACTGCTCGAATGGAATAACCTCACTTGGTAGCACTCTTTCATAACTACGGTTGTTGATTGATTGCTAAGTGATTAGCCAGGATAGGATAAGACCAAGAATGGGAGGCTGTGGACGATCGATTTGGACAAGTACGGTTATGAAAAAGAAGAGTGCGCTGAAACATTGCGTGAATTAGGATTTCATAGTAACCTCGTGAAAGCTGACAATCTTGAATGATATCAAGTCAGTGTTTCTATACTCCTGAACAAGTTTGGTACCACTTGCTGGCCGTTGATAAATAGAGGGCTTCGTATATCGGGCTCGAGATTGAATCAACGACATGTGTGCTGCAGTACAGGTTTTTTCAAATGTTGTCAAGGGATCTAAAAATACAGCAAGAAGTGCGACGTCTTATCCGGGTAGTGATGCAACACAAAGGTGCCAATTCCATTGTAGAACGATGTGCGTGTTTTACAAGTACTGATCCACAGGGTGAATGAGTTGTCTAAAATTTCGCCCGAAAGGCCTTATCGGGCGCTTAAAATCGATCAAATCCTAGTTCTGCACAAGTATTCCTTGATAAATAAAAGATAAAGCACTCAGCACTGGTCCATCCCTGAAGCATGCGTCGTGTGTCCGATTTCGCTAAACATCGCTAGAGATCATTGAATGTATATCTGGATTTACATTGACTTTCGGTGGCCCGCCGTTGTATCAGATCAATTATTTTTTGTCTCAAAATAATCGATTTAAATTTTCTATCACGCTAGACAAATCTGGCACCAATTCGGTAAATTCGGCGGGATGAAAAAGGCTTGGCGAGAGTGGGACGCGTGGTCGAAACAAAAACCACCTGTCCATTGTAGGGCACCTCTAACAGTTTTCGCATTCCTTGAATTGGTTAAGATAGAAGAACAGTCAATGTGTTATAGTGGTACGTTATTTTATTTTCATAAAACGCCCACTGTGATCGCTTAATAGACAGAGGTTTCTAGTAATTAGTACTTTAGTACTAGTAAAGTTGATGTAATCATTTTTTTGCAGTAGACAATTTTCTGCGTGCGGATGGAGTAATGGCAGTAGTGAAGTTCAATAGGCGCAAAGATTGGCTTGACCTCCTTGGCCCATACTAGGCCAACGAAGCCTCCCATTTTCCCTCGGATGGGAAAGTGGTATCAAGTTTCTCTGGGAAAATTCCGTTGAACTTGTGAACTAAGAACGTCTCAGCACAATTGTCTCAAGATCGGCCTTCAGCTACACGGAATCAGCTCAACTAGCGCTTTTGACATTCACATGTAACATCAAAAGCCATCAGGTAGCAGCAAGCCCACATGCAAAATTTTAAAGATCTTTATGGCTGATTGGTGCCAGGAAACCAATCTACCGAAGAAGTGCTGGGATGCGCACAATCTAAAAGGCTTCTCTAAAAAATCGAAAATGTTTTCATTGTTAAAA